CGAGTGGAGGGTACGTTGTTCAAAATTGATGGCTCTAGCTACCATTGTTTTTTTACAGTACGAGAAACATATATACATTCATGCAAAGCCTTCAATACTTAATTTCTTTATATTACAGAGCGATAGTATTTGGTGACAAGAATTTGAAAAGTGATACGCCATTTATTGTGATTCAACGCAAAATGCCGTTTCGAGAATAATATTTCATTCGGGACTAATCTCTCTTTTGGGATAATGATTCACTTTTAGACTGGAAAGATATTTCATTCATCAGTCATGCTTCATGAACATTAAATAAATTCAGTGTAATAATGAGTTACTTCATTAAATAAATAATTTTAATTAAAATATGCGATAAATAGCCAGAAAATGAAGGAAACGGAAATTTTCGTGTTATTTTATTTATATACGAGTATTTTTTTTATGGATAAATAAATACTTAAACGTGTAACCTTTTTCTCGGGAAAAGAAATCACGGAATCACATGCATTCGAGCAAACATCCTTCAGAGTAAACATTGTTCATGCTGAGAATGAATCACGGAATTCTTTGCAGTTTTTGAATTGCTGTAAGAACATGCAACTGCGCTTTATAAGTACGTAAAAGGTAAATGTTATTTATTCTATTCTTGACAGGTGGGTGTAGCTATTGCTAAATAACATTCGCCAAGCCATAGTTAGCAAATCCCTATTGTACGATTAATTCGTTGGAAGTTCTATCAAATAACTATTTGCAAAGTTTTTATTTTCTTTTCAAAATCGGGCACGGCTTGTTTTTTTATCTTTATCTGTAAAACATTAATTTTGGATGGAATTAACAATTTATTATTTTTAAATCATTAAACGAATGTTCTATACATAATGTTGGAAAACCGCAGGATAAGAATTATTTATACTAAAGTTAGAGTTAGGTCCAGGGGTGTATCCGGGTCTTTAAAAAAATTTATTGTCCTTTCAGTTTATTAGTTTTAGCGCTAAAGCAATTCAGGAATTCACAATCCATTCATTTTATAATTTTCAAGATCATTTGCAAGGCAGGATCCTCTTGTGATATAGACATTTTTTAGGCGAATAAAACAGAAAGCTGCGTTGTTTCAAGGACTCGATGGTCCAAACTGTCTGTACAGATTTTAAAATTAATATTTACTGATCATTTGTGTCGGTTATTCTCAGGACTATTTTCTTGCGCTCGACGTTTATAGCTAACAAAACTTCTATTCCTCCCCCATTCGATATTATAGTTAGAGTGCAAAGAGAAAATACCATTTCTTTTAAAAGTTGCAAGCTGAGTATGAATTTTTAGAAAATCGTTTATCATAATGATAGCCTAAATTGCATATTTTGCAATGCCACTTTTTTCGGTAATCATTTAGTATGCTATCGACTGTTTATCATTTATATATCTTAGATAGCGCCATTAAAACTCTATTTTTTAAATTCAAACCTACAAAAAAAATGGCAGGACGAAGTGATTAAATCAACAGCTAATTGTAGTACCACCATATAAAAAATATAAATAACTAGAAGCGGTAGACCGCATACCACATGATGACCCTTTGTTCAAGTAACACACGAAGAGAAAAATTGGTATAGAAAAATATAGTATATAACCAGCATTATTTTGTTGTCCTTGCTGTATGATTTACTTTTAATCTTTCATATCAGCTCTTATCTGTTATATAGGCTTAAGGTTCTAATCCGGGGGGGATTTCATAGTTTCTGTGGAGGAGGAATTCGGTCAGCATTTTATTTAGCTGTTTAAGTATTTAATTTTATTTATGAATATAAAAACTACTTTTTTCAAGTTTTGGTATTTAATAACATTTTCTGTACGTTTTGTTTTCTAATTTATAAAATACATTAGAAAATAATCTAAATAAACTTATATATGTATTTTAAAAATTTGGAAAGGAAGGTGGGGGAATGATCTAGGAATGAAGAAAGGCTGCATGGGACAAAATAAGTTGAGAACCAGTAGACTAGTATAGCTTGAAGCACTGAAATTAATTCTTTTATAAATAAAGTGTATCGGATATAGGCATCCGCAGAAAATTTTCCGACGGAGAAGAGGTAAAATTAGAAACAAATAATTGCATTAATAAATTTTTATTTAATTTAGAGAAATTTACCACTAGATTATAGAATACAGAATGACATCAATGCAAAAACACATTTATTACACATATTCTACACATGTATTATACAGCTCTTTGCTTCTATTTACATTGTATCCAATGCAGTGAAATCTTCCTGCAACATGATAAAGACCAAGCAGATCATTTTGTATTTCTGTGAAGCTCTCACCTTACAAAATATAACTATTGGCGACATTGGAACATCAATATTTAATTATTTCCGCAGAAGTACTGTCATTTTCACACTCTTTCATTCCCTGAGAACACTATATATCCGGGGTACTCAACCCGGTGCCGAGGCGACCTTGCATAACGACCGCCAAGCTTCTTTCCCCCCCTACAACAATCTTTTTGGAGATTGCACATAGAAGGGGTTCGGCGGGGGAGGGTTAGGAAACATCGAGGGTGATGGCGTGTCTTAACTCCATCCGTGGAACGGTGTTTATTAGTACACCAGGGTACCTGAGCGAGAAGGCTCTACCCCTTGTGAAACAGTTTAAGAATTGCGAATAGTATGATGAAATAACCTAAAATATATCTAAGGTAATTTTTTTATAATAAAGTTTTTAAAGTGAATAATTAATAATTTAGAATTTATATTTAAGCCAGAAGTTAGGGAATGCTAATTAAAATATTAAGCGAGGGCAAATGAATGCAGGCCAAAAGTCGTCGAGCTGGTGAGCGTGTGGATAAAGGCAAGGTTAGGCGAACACTGATAATTTGAATCCCATAAGTAAGATATAAATATCATGAACGTAAGACTAAAAAGGATGCATAGCAAATACATAAGAGAAGGTTAACATAAACCGTAAAGACATTATAATAAATATTACATAATATGTACATTCAGTTGGGCCATGGACCATATTTGCTAGGTCATTGTAGTCATAATTGCAAATCTTAATGTCCGGGTTGTGAATTGTTTTTGCTTTCATGAAAGCTTTTAGCACGTTTATAATAATGTGAGCATAGTTGCTCCAGTTCTTTATAAATTCTATTGCTGCGGATATACCACTACGCTTTAACTATTTCTCTAAGAACAGAATATTGGCAAGTCCGTAATTTTTTCCTATCATATTTTTTGGTATAAGCCCAAACTGGACTAGCATAACATAGTAATAACGGAGAATGGACTTATAAATGATTAACTTGTTGTCAATTGATAAAACACTGTTTTGAGCAATTAAAAGTTGAGGATCACCCCAAGATAAATGATCTGCTTGGCCCAGGGAATAGTGGTGCCACTGAAGATGAGATTTCCTTGAATTTGCTCTTTTTGGTGAACATAATGGGCAGTGTTTTATCCACGTTGATTTTAATTTTCCATTTTGTACGCCAAGCCTCTAATGTACGGATGTAGCTTGTAATCGTTTAATGATTGGACCTACGAATGCACTTAGTGCTAGGATCGCAGCGTCGTCTGCATACATAGCTAATGTTGTGCCGTGTGGGGATGGTATGTCATAATATTGACAAAAGTGGAGGGAACTGCAGGTCAGAGTCGACCCTTGACTCGACTGTGTGACACAATTATATTAAGTATTTAACAGGGTGCAAAGGGCATATTTTGACACATGTTCTTCACCACTCTTCTTTGAAAAAAGCTTCTGGCAGTGACAGTGTCAGTGGTGCACCCAGTCGTGTTCGGCATCGTCATTCTGCGTCGGGGCTTAGCGATTTGTTTTTCGACCGCTGCAGCACGATCAGTGAGCCCAGGAAAAGGTAGAAAATGTACAATTACACTTCCAGCTGGTAAGAAACGTTTTGCTTTGTTGATGTGAAAGGGAAGTGCGTGTGTTTGCTGTGTGGTGCATCTGTAGCATTGGCCAAGAAACATAATGTGGAACGTCACTTTCAGACGAATCATGGAACATTTGCAACGAACTACTCGGAGGGTTCGGAAATTAGGAAGAAGGCATATGAACTGCAAATTGAAGCTTTCAGTGGAGGAGTGAGTATTTGTTAGGCCAGTTTCAAAGTCCAAAAATGCAACAACGGCTTCGTTTAAAATTGCTCACTTGCTGGCGAAAAAGAAAAGACCATTTCAAGACGGTGAGTTGCTGAAGGAAGCATTTCTTGCAAGTGTCGAAAGCCTCTTTGACAGATTCTCTAACAAGCGTGAAATCATCAATGCGATTCAGGACCTTCAGTTATCAGACAGCACTGTTTTAAGGAGAATAGAAGCAATTGCTAATGACATGCAATATCAACTGAAGAGAGACTTGAAAACATGTGAATAGTTTTCTCTCCAATTTGATGAGTTTACGGATATTTCCGACATGTCGCAGTTAGCGGTTATGATAAGAATGGTATTTAACGACTTAATTTGTTAAAGACGAATTATTAAATATTCTGCCTTTGAAGACGAGAATGCGAGGAGAGGACATTTACAATGTTTTTAAGACTTTTGCAGCAGAAATCAGTGCATTCTTCTACTAACTCGAACACAACAACTGTTCAAAATGAAGTTTTCAATCAACACTGCGGTTGAATGAGAAAAATTTAAACAATTTCTTTTTATAGGATTATTATTATTAATATTTTCCAGTCATGGCCAGCGCCAGAGCGTTTACAACGGGTGCGACCGCAGCGGTAGGGGAATTTTTAGAATTTAGGAAAGAACCAGGCGGCAGAATTTTGAAGTCGCAGAGTTTGCACAGAGCAGGAAAAGGTCTAGTAGTGACCCCGTGCCGACTGATTTCTTCTGAAATTTATTAAAAAAGAAATACCCTTTTTTTCCCCTATATCGTTAACCAATTAGTAGGTCTGAAATACCCTTTTGTGAGTCTTCTGAGGTGTTTAAAATTACAATCTCTCCTAGAAAAGATAAAATTTCATATCATTATGTATTTTAATTATTTTACAGGATGTGAAGGTGGCTTTCCATATGTTATAGCTGGCAAATATGCGCAGGATTTTGGAGTATTACCAGAAAACTGCTATCCTTACGAAGGTCATGATGATGTTTGCGCAGTGGCGAAATGCAAGCGGTTTTACGTTGCAGAATATAAGTACGTAGGGGGATTCTTTGGGGGGTAAGTATGACATACATTCTGTATTTCTAGATTCCCTCTGTAGTCCTATTTATATATAATTATACTTCTTAAATACTTAAGAGAGAAAATCAACATTAAGTAAAAGTACAAAAATAGACGCAATCTATTACCTTTAAAATAATAATCTGTCAGTGATATAGTATATAGAAACACTTGAAAAAAGAGGTAGCTATCTTTAAAACTATTTTATGATTATTTAACTTATTAATTTTTTTTTGGATATCAAAACCTATAAGTTTTTCCCCGACACAGCATTTTTTTTTAATGGTATACATGCATGTGTAGCAAGTCAGGAATTTTTCATTGCTTATAAATTTGAATATCACAGTGGCGTAGCGAGCTTAACTGGCGCCTCCCACAAAAAAAAAAAAAAAAAAAAAAACCACTTACGGTAATATAATGCATATAATATATTTGTAATAATAAAATTCTGAATCAGCCATAAAATACTCTAAAATGTATTCAGAATAGTCACAACCTAACTGCACTAGCATTGGATTCGGAAATGTATCTGAATCTCTGAATCGGCAGAAAAATCAAACATGAGATGATCTAGAATTAGTTAAAAAGGTATTATTTATTTTACATATTTATATAATTGTTTTTTTAAAAAAGTACAATTTTTGAACAATGTTTAATATATATTATAGAAAAACAAAAAAGTTTAATATATATTATAGATAAGTAGATATATTTACTAATAATAATTTAACATTATAATACATTAATATAATTAATTACTGTGTAAACATTTTTCTTGCCTTAGAAGAAGCAAATTTATGAATTACCTTATCAAAGCCTATCATTTCAAATTTTTCTCTTTCCACATTTAAAAATGCTAGATGACTTAGGGGATCTTGTCCCATCGTTCACTGTAAATATGACCAAATTTATTTAAATTTGCTGAACGAACGTTCATAGCTAGCATTTTATAACGAAATAGTAAGGAGTAGTTGAAGTGCTACTCTTAGGCTTGGAAAAACATTTTCTCCATAGATCTGTAATGGAGTTTTAGATTGTTTCTTTCTACTGCGGAGTAACATCTTGCAGTCATATTCACTGTTCAAAACAATTAGGGGATGTTGCGAATTCGGTATGAAATAACCATTTTCCCAAAATGTCATTTTCAGACTATGGCATCGGTTTTTGGAAACTGGATATGTTTCAAAAATTCGGGGCAAGGTCATGTTATCGTTTTAAAATAAAAAGCGGGATCTATATATGCATTTCGTTTTAAAAAAAATAAATATCTCTCTATTTTAGAGAAATAAAGTGGTCAGAAAGAACGTTTGTATGCGGAAATATTTGGTTGATGTACTGCAAACATTTTATTACACATTTTATCACACAAATCAAGGAAATAAGTAATTAATTATATTACAATAATTATCAATTCTAAATATGTTTTCCAGAAATCAATCAAAATAAAAACTGAGATTTTCCGGAAAATTTTGGAGACCATTTGGCGCCACACTGCAAGCGGCGCCCGGGGCATCATACACCTCCTTGCCCCCCTCACTACGCCACTGGAATATCAATCTGTTCTTATAATATAATATTAACATTTTAAGTTTAATTTCTTACGTAAGAATGATGATTTAGTAGAAACATTTAGGAATTTCATGAACTGGTATCACTAAATGATGTTACATATGTTAAAATTATTTCTATTGATCTGAAACTTCATGTTAAAATTATTTCTATTGATCTGAAATTTTATATTCATTTATATAAAATTTTCAAACACTAGAAAACTAAAAAAAAATTACTTTATTAGTAGCACTAAACACGACATCCAGAAATTGGAAATAGATTAGAAATCACAATATGCACCATACACTCAATTTCATCGGCTGAATTTCAGTCAACTAACAGTTAATGATTCAAAAAGGAAATTTTGCAGGACTCGGCATGGTTCGTATCATCTTTTGATCTTAAACAGTTGAATTGGTAATAGCTCATTTTATTTAAGACTATACTAATACTGGAAACTTTAATTCGACAGGAAATAATCTTGTACAGACTAATATTACCAAAAATGCTAAGCCTGATCTTTCAAATCTGATACACTTAATCTGTCAGTGATATATACAGTGTCTCAAAAAAGTGATGGGACACTTGTGCTTTACAAAAGGAAACTGCAATAAAATAAATTTAAAAAACATGTAAAATTTTTTGTGGGTGTGTTTCATACTTAAATTTAGTAACAATTATTACATAACATACATTTTCTCAAAATATTAAAATATTAATTTAATAAAAATACAATTGTTTAGAACGGAGCAGAAAATGGCTCACTTAAGTGATGGGGCACTATGTACTATGCAACAAAAATCGTCTGAAGTAAGCAATAAAATATCTTTTGGAGTATTTATTTTTACTCAAAATCAATTGCCAATAATTTATAAAATCGTCTGCAGTATTTCTCTCCAGTTTGTTTTGGAATTTTTGTGTTTTTTAGCTCTGTGCAGCAATGAATGCTAAATGAAAAGAAACTTTGCCTGGAATTCGAAAATTAGTTATTAATTTGCATATTGAACGTGGAAAATCTATTAGAGAAACTACTGAAACAGTTAACTTCAGTCATTCAACAGTTTTCAATATCATTAAACGATATAAAAAGAATCATATGATTCAGGATAAAAGAAGACCTGGCCGACCATCAAAGCTATCCAATGGAATAAAGCGAATTATCGTTCGAAATATTTAAAAAAAATCCAAGAATGAGTGCCCCTAAAGTTGCTGCTGATTTACAAGCATTATATGGAGTAATTGTTAATTCTGTGACTATTATAAGAGTAATTCAATCTACTGGATATCACGGTAGAGCAGCCAGGAAAAAATTCTTCGTAAGTGAAAAGAATAGAAAACTCAGACTGGCTTTCGCAAAATCCAACATAAATAAGAATTCTGATTACTGGAATGAAGTTATATTTGCTGATGAGAGTAAATCTAATATATTTGGTTCTGACGGTAGAATCTTGGTGTGGAGAAAACCCAGGGAAAAATTTCGCAAACAGAACTTGGTGCCAACAGTAAAACATGGTGGAGGAGGAGTTATGGTATGGGGGTGTATGTCGTCCTCTGGAGTTAGTAATCTTGTTTTTATTGACAGTATAATGGATCAATACAAGTATATTGACATTTTAAATCAAAATTTGAAATCTTCAGCATGAAAATTGAACCTTCATAACGATTTTAAATTCTACCAGGACAATGACCCCAAGCACAGTGCTTTGAACGTTAGACTCTGGCTGCTGTATAACTGTCCTGAAATAATAAAAACACCCCCACAATCTCCACAATTAAATCCCATAAAGAATATTTGGGAAGAATTGGAATCAAGAGTTCGCAAACACACCATTTCTTCAAAACAACAATTAAAATCGGTGCTTCAAGAAGATTGAGGTAAAATCACTCCAGAAATCACAAAAAAAATTAGTCGAAATCCATCCCAAGAAGATTAAATTCATGTTTTTAAAAGTAAAAGGAAATCCAACAAAATATTAAAACCTTTTAAAAAGTAAAATTTTTTGATAAATATTTGATGGAAAAGTAAATGCCCCATCACTTACGTGAGTATCCAATCACTTAAGTGAGCCATTTTTTGCTCCGTTCTAAACAATTGTATTTTTATTTAAATTAATATTTTAATATTTTGAGAAAATGTATGTGGTATGTAATAATTGTTACTAAATTTAAGTATGAAACACACCCACAAAAAATTTTACATGTTTTTTTAAATTTATTTTATTGCAGTTTCCTTTTGTAAAGCACAAGTGTCCCATCACTTTTTTGAGACACTGTAGGTAATATTAATCTGTCTGATATATATAGGTAATATTAATCTGTCAGAGATATATAGGTAAGTATTTTAATTATCATACAGTTAGCTCATGTCATAACGATTCTCTTGGAACCAATAAAAATAATAACTAACTATCGTATCAGAATGGAAAATAGGCTTATGGAGGTTTGATTTGTTTGATTGTGGAAAAGCATAAAAGAACTATCTGTCTACGAGAAAGAATGACTTCGTGGAGGACTTTGAGGGGAATTAGCCCATATTCATGCTACACATGGATTCAACTACCAGTGGTCAGCATCTTTAGCGCTCGACCGTTTGTGAACTGGAGAGAGAATGTTATAAGTTGCTATATCAGTGATACTACTAAAGCAGATTCAGAGCAATTCTATCCCCCCTCCCCGACGTCATATAAAATTAATTTATGACATCAGCTGTCAAATCTTCGGTAAGAAGTACACCCATCCTCTTTATGCAAGAATTGTTAGGCACACAGGAAGTAAAATTAAAAAAAATTATGCAGCTCAACTATGATATATACCTGTAAATGGTAATCTCTTTGCACATAATTCTTATAGACAGACATTAAGTACTAAATGGTAATTAGTTTGTCAATAACAGAAAATCTCTTCAAGAATCTGCAATAGATGTTAAATATTTTAACAGTACTTAGCTATTAAATACTGTAACTGTAAAGACATTAAGTACTGGACAGCAGGTTTGTTATATATAATATTGTTAACTATAAAATTCTGAAGTTACATATAATTCTTCTGGTCGGTCATTTTTAGTAATTTCGACATAAATATTTCCATAGGTAACAATGCAAACAGACAAGAATAATAATGGACATAAACATAGGACTCCCACTAAAAATACCCCCCCCCCCAAAAAAAAGAAGATTACAACATAAATACACCCAAAGAAAAAAAACCTAGTTTTTACATTACATAGTAAAGCAACAGAAATAAGATAACACTTAGCACACATAAATATCTTTTGTATAATTTTAATCGCAATTTGTATCCCACTCAGTTCCTTCCATATATATATTTTTTGAAGTTCTTTGTTTCATAGGTTCTTCCTGTTAAGAAAAATTCCTTGTATGTTTTTTTGCCAATTTTACTTTATGTTTCCATGTCATCAAATTTGATTAGATCTGTTCATCACCTATTTTGCCATTGATCGGTCTTTAACGGTTGCTGGTTTAAGTGAGTTTCAGGCTTTTGTTTTTGTATGTTTCACTTGGGAAGAGATTCTTTCTATGTTAGCCAAAATTAGGACTGATCATAACATTAAATTTCCAAGTTAGAATTATTAAAGGCTATTTTTACATTACATAAATGATATCAAAACTTAAGAGTGATTTTGTTAAGAGAAATCTAAATCTTGATTTAAATGAAATTATCTCCATTTTTTATTTAGAAGATCTAATTTGTTGTCAGAAGCAAGATGAGGTAATTGCTAATAAGAAAACTGAATATACAGATTTGACATGATCATAACTACTGGGTCAAGAACATCTGAAATCGGAGATAATTCCATCATCATTTAGAAGAAAGCTCTTTTTGATTTGCATACAAAGTTCAACAAGATATTTTTAAAAAATAAATCAACATACTTTCACTGTCATCAAATGATGTCAAATTTAATAAGGCCATATAAAGGCTTCCCAAAAGGATTTTATTCAGAGGTTTAAAATTGCTTGGATTAACTTACACCAGCTTGAAGAAGTCATAATTTCATCTTTCATTTAAAAGTTAAGAATATTTTTATACTAAATTGAAAATCATTGAACAAAGTAAGGGCAATGTGAAATCCCCAGATTGAAATTCAGTACTCAGGCAGTTTATTTTTTCCATACCCTAAAAACAGCAACACTTTCTTATTTCTTTTAGTAATCATAGTATTTTAAAAATTTTCCTTCCACCATTGATTTTGTTCATTTTTGAGCGAGGCTAAAAGTAAAGAAACAATGTGTCCTACTGCTGAACAATAATTTTTATTACATAGCCTATGTGTTTGTGCTGATTTGGGGATTTAATGCTTAAAATTATCTTGACATTCTCATTGGGGAAATAAGATTATATCTTTTATAAATAATAATTAGTAGTAGATAATAATAAGAGATATTTTATAAATATTTCTAGATATGATGGTAACATAATGCGAAAGACTGGCAAACACAATCCATGATAATACTGATGGCACATACTTTTTTAGGAATGAGTGTGGAAGCCACTCTTTGTACCCATCATAGTAGCACAATTATCACTTTCAAAGCCAACCAAATTATTTATTAGAATATAAGCTGTTCTGAAGTACCATTTCTGACACAGTGTAAAATAACACATCTACAACATCAAGTGAACATTTGAATATCAAATTATCTAACAATAAAAGCTAGAATTTGTGATACAGATATGTGTTCTCTTATCTAGTATGACTAAAAGCTTTACTGTTTCTGCATATGTTAAAAATGCATTTTGTTTTTCATGATAAGCTATGCTACCTTGTATAAGACAAAACACTTCATTCCCTTTCATCTGAATTTGTTCTGCTATATTGCTATCATGAAATGTTTTTTCACATGCAAATTAAGTACTTTTAAGGACCATGAAAGAGAAAAATTAAGGGCTCATCAAGCAAAGAGGAATACAATAAATTAAAGGAATTATCTACACCCAAACTTCACATTCTTAATTATAAAATAAATCTAAGTAGTATATATATTATTAAAGATAATCTAATATTTAACTTAATTACAAAACAAATTCAAGAATAAAATTAACTTTACAATTTTTTCGAGTAATAAGCATTAAATTTCCACATATTTCAGCTAATTTACATCGATTTCCTTCTTTTTAGCATCTTTTCTAAGTTTATTTGTTCCAATAAACAAATCAATGCTCCCACTAGTCCCTGCATCATCTCCTAATTTGTTAATATTTCAACAATGTACTGTTGAAGAATAATTCTCTTTTTATAAAACCAATTTCTTTTTTAATAAATATTTCTTAGTTTTAGAATTTTTAGATTTAATAGATATTTTTATTTTAATAAACTGCTTGTACTTAAGAATGTAAAACTTCTAACCATATTTCTTTAATAATACCAGTAATGAAATTAGTATGAAATGATATAAGATCAAGACCAACGACATAGCCAGTATAGCAGAATTTTTAGAATTTAGCGGAGTGCCGAGAAACAAAATTTAGAGCAAAATTTTTAGAATATAGGGCAGGCACTGAGGTATGTATAGTGCACCGAGACATATAGGACGTATCTTTTAATTCACTGCCGGTTTTCAATTTCTTTGATTGCTTTGATGCTTGTGTTTAGTGAAAAGGTAAGAAAATAAACGTGGAAAGATAAACATATTAAAGATTTCTGGGATCAAAAGGAGAAAATTCAAATAAATTACTTTACACACTTAAAACATATTTAGAAAGTACTAAAATTTGTTATGCAATTTCAGTAGTCTTCTATATTAAAAATTACAAATATGAGGTAGAATAAATTTCATCATCATTTCTGATCTTGAAAGCCATCTATAAACCATTCATATTTAAAAAAAATCAGAATAGTTATTTTATTATTGCAATGCCTTTTATTGAAATTAAAGAAATGACAAGCTTAAATAAAAGTTATATTAATGCATAATAGCTGCATTAATAAACAATAACTGAAAATTAAAACAGACTATGAACAAAACCAAAAGTTAACTAAAATTTCTTTTAATCATGGGTACAGTGTTATAAAAATGATTTTAAAATAAATTCTCCACAGTATATATAAGCCAGATTTGTAACATTCAATTAATAATGCTAGGAAATTTTATCAACTATTCAATACACATAATTTTTTTTTTTTTTTTTTTTTTTTTTAGTACAACATTTTTGAGAAGGATCTCAAAAGCTACTTCATTTTAAAAAAAAAAAAAAATTTGTACATCTTTTTTCCTATTATTTTACCTGATCTAATAGTTACACTGTTTGTATCCAGATTTTGCAATTTTTTTTAATCACCCTTCACTCAGAATGATTTAATTTTTATTAAAATCAGTATCTGAAAAATAGATTAATATAATGACTTTTATATCGTAGGTGCAATGAGGAACTCATGAAGTTAGATCTCCTTCAGAATGGACCATTAACTGTGGCATTTGAAATGTATCCTGACTTCATGTACTATAGCAGTGGCATTTATCACCACACAGGAGTTGGAGCCAGATATAATCCTTTCCATTTAGTAAATCATGGAGTGTTGATAACTGGATATGGTACAGATAATGCAACTGGAGAAAAGTTCTGGATAGTGAAAAACAGTTGGGGAACAGGATGGGGAGAGGAAGGCTATTTCAGGATTAGAAGGGGTACAAATGAATGTAATATTGAAAGTATGGCAGTATCAGCAATACCTATTCCTTAATTGAAAAGCGATTTCAGTCAAAATAGAATGGATTATCAATAACACAAATGTCATAAATACACCTGAATATAATTTCAATAAGCACGCAGTAGTGTAAAATTACCGATTCCTATTCACAATTAATAATAAATACATATCAAATTTATATGCACATAAAAATACATACATTTAAAACTTTTTATCAACTGCCAGAGTTAAGTTCTCATAAAAATCTATGCTAAAATATGACCTCCCATAGATTTCCTTCGAATTTTTAAATATTAGTCTGTCATACTTACGCAAGTTATTTTGGATGCTAAATAATCAAATTTAACAAGATATGAAAATAGGAACATCAACAGGAAAATGAATTTTAAATAAAAAATGCATCTCCTGAATCAAAATACACATGTACGAGATGCATAATTATTCTTATGAATATCCATTAAGCTACAGATTAATTTAAATTTTAATACTCAAATATTTGAACATGTAGACAGTCTACACCACATTTGCAAGGCAGAAGTTTCACTGTGTTCAGTTAAATCATGTTTTAGAAATACACATATGTTCAGTTCATACAACCATCTTAGGATAATATAATTTAGGCTTTGATGTATTCATGAAAAGGTTGTTTTCAAAATTATCATTTTTGTAAAAAACAAAATATTTTCATTTTTCAATCATTATTTTTAACTACACAGCTTTCATAAGTAGGTTTGGATTCCTAAGTAGGCTTGAGGACTATCTAACTTTTATAATTAATAATGACTATTTTAAATAACAGTGTCAGTAAAGCAAATATATATTTCAATCTCCAATAATTTAAAATGACAAATTTATAACTTTTTAAACTTAATATGGTGCTGCATTAAACTATGAAATGTTGTTCATTTGTCTATTTTATAGACAGTGTACAGCTACAGAATTACTCAATTCCTCCTTTTGTTAAAAATTATAATTCAGAACAATATTAAAAATTTATCAGTATGTTATATGAAATGCACTGTAGTAACAGTGAAATAAGATTAATCTAAAACAGTGTTTTAATGCCCATTAACAAAAATTTTAATACAGATAATTAATAGTACATAATACAATCCAATCTTCAGAAACTAGACATAAAAGGTATACAAAAACTGCAATTGTAATTGAACACAGTCCATACTTTAGAAAACAATATTCACATTAAAAAACTTGTGGAAAATACTTAAGTAGCAAAAAAGCCACATATTTTTAAAATGAGGAAGTTTCATATTCCTATACATATTACACAAGGAATAAAAGGTTAAAAATAGTTCACATTAAAATATTACACAAAGAGCAACAATATTTTTCTTAAATATTAAATTCTTGATAAAATTGTGATTCTAATAAATTATTTCATTATATACACATAATTTAAAATCTAACTTCACCAACATTTAAATATATGGCAACGTTGTATAATTTGCACTAGCATTATCACTTAATATTTAGGAATGATAAAATGCAACTTTAAAGATGAAGTAAATTCGCATCTAATCCAAGTTCCATATTCATAAATGCTCAGGCACTGTCAGCAAAGCTTCTTCAGCTGATCGCTCAATATCACAGTTCTGAAAAGAAAGGAAAAATAATTACCCAGGAGATACCAGAAAAAGCATTACACAAAGGACATAAGGTATGGTAAAAAACTGCAAACAGAAAAATACGTCAAAAACATCCTTTAAATACAATTTTTTAAATTTTACCTCAGGGGGGGGGGAGTGTTCAGTATTTTCTACCGTAAGAAGAATTAAATAAGACATCTTTTTATTTCATAATCAGGAATTTTATGCTGTATTAAACTACTTTTAACTGATTTCATGATGAATGAATGTTAGCATTTTATAATCAAGTTAACATATAAAATCTTGAATTTTATCTAATAAGTACTTCGCAAATCTTTAAACCTAGAATTTAGTAAATTTGCAAATTTTTTAAAAAAGGGAAAATTTAATCAGTTTGTCTTATTAAAAACATAATAGTTCACTAAATTTTGAAGCAGTGTAACACAGTCTTTTTAAAACAGTAAGTTATTTTTTTAAAGTGCTATATTCCAGTTACTTTAATTATAACAAGCACACAATAACAAATTAAAGTAAATCAAAGAAAGGTAGAAAACAGAAGCAATTTCATGATCAATTTACACACTTTGGTGGAGTGAACAAGATCAGAATTAATAACACCCCATCACATATTTTGATAAATAAGGAATGTTTTAAATAAATCCATGTACACCAATAAAAAGATTTCTACATAATTTTAGCAGAGCATATGAAAAATTTGCTGCAGCTCTTCTGTACTTCAGTTTTACTTGATACAAGACATTATAAATCCGTTTTATGCAAAGGAACTAGAAGCAGGATACATTCTTCCAATGAAAAAAGACTATTAAGATTATACTTTGAAAAGACAACAACCTTTTCATTCGAAGTAAGTGCCAATCTAAGGATGGATTTTCATACTTTTAAATTTTACATGCAGCTTTATTTACATGTAGCTTGAATATGTTTAGGTACTGACAGTTTAACTATACTCCAGATTAATTTTGTAAATACCTTTATTGGTAAAGTTTATATTTCATAAAGTTTATTTATATTTCATAAAACGGAAAAACTAAGGAAATATTGTCTCGCAGTTGTTTTTATGTTACGAGTTAAGCAGGAAATGTTTTTCACTTTAAGCATTAACAAATAATAGAAGAGTAAATGTCAAAAATTTAAGAAAAAAATTTTAAGCTGCCAATCCTTTAAGTCTGTTTAGATTAGAGACGGTATTTGTTTGTACCCCGACCTTTAAGACTTGATCATTATATCAAAAATATAAGTATAGTTGTTGAATGCTTAAACTTGTCAAGTTACAAAAATAGTTTAAAAGGGCCATTTGTTTTTAATAAAGTGAAAATGAAATGCTATTATTTGACAGATGGATAGACCATGAGTTTTAAAATATTTTAGAGTGCATAAATAATTATATACTTACACAAGGGATAATTGCTTAGTAGATGGCATAAATAATATTAATCTTCAGAGGCTTTATAATATCAATGAGAATTGTACAGGAAAAGCAGACACGTTTATAAATTACAATGTTAAATATAAGCATGCTGAAAAATTTAAGCAATGTTACAACCTTCAGAAACCATACCACATTAAAATATTATCATGCATGGCAATTTGCTTCTGGAGATTTTTAATATCATGCAAAAAAGAGTTCCATACATAGTAAAGAAAAAACAAAGATACAGCTACATAATTTTTCCTGATATTAAAAATAAAATGTTGAAAGGTGACATGCACAACACAGACAAAATAACACAACAAGAGAATGCGGGAAAAAAAATTTATTTGACCACTTGATATAAAGGTACATCAACCAAGTTATCTATTGCATTTAAATATTTATATCACATTGCAAGCATACAAAAACTATACAAACAGCAATATTTTAAATTCATAAATTTATTTAAACAAAATTCACATATGAATAAAATAGCAACACGAAAGCTTCACAAATATCAATAATTTTAGAATCAGCTAATAACTGGATAAATTCTAATTAAAAATTAAAAAAATAAAAGCATAATTTGAAGAAATGACATTAAATATAATTTTCTTAACATTTAAAATGCTCTTAAAGTAATTTCTCACACAGAGAATAAAATCAGCAAAGAAAGTAGGCTGAAGAAATATTAAATATTTCAAAACATTACTCCAGTGCTAAAAACTGTACAAAATTTATTTGAAGGAATGTTTGAACTCAAAATAATTCAAATAATTTGACTTCAACAGAATGTAAATTGCATTATACAAAAATTAAGAAAAGAAAAAAATAAATAACTTTAAGAAACAGTATAAAAATAACTCATAAAAAATAAAGTATTTGGTTGAAAATATTTCATTAGCATTAAAAAAATCCACATCTCAATGAAAACATTATAAGTCTTGCAACAGAAACTACAAATACTATTAAATACACATATAACTCTGAAAAAAATAACCATAAATAAATTTTACAAGTTACATTATATGCATTTAAACTGAAAATAACAACATATCATGTCTAGAATGCAAAAGACATCTCTAATGCATAAGAACTATTAATATAAACAGGTGATAAAAATAATAATTCAATAGCATTTCATTGCACACAGCATTTCTCATAAGCCTTACCCAATCACTATCATTTTAATAGGCAACTGACAATTTAGCTGTTTTGTGTGTGTCATATGGGGGCAAACTACTTCAGCTGGTGAAGTCACAGTGAGCTTCTCACTATTATTATGCAACATAAAACTCGAAAAGGTATCCATGCAAAATAAATATCAAGACTAACACAGAAAATGGTATGAGCAGAAGAGCTGTTAGGGAAACAAAAGCATTTTAATTTGGAAGAATTAATTTTCACATTCATAAATTTATCATTAACAAAGGATTTTATCAGGGTTCATAGCCACATTTTAGTTAAAAAAATAAGCACTTTTCAAGCACATTTTAAGGAAAAAATAAGCACCTGTCTAATTACATTATACACAACTGCATAACCTTAAAAGAAAAATTAGACTTGTAATTTAAAATATGAGCTATGCAATATTTATTAAGAGAATGAATATTATCTCAACAATGGAAAACAATTTTTTTTTTTTTTATTTTTTTATTTTTTATTATTATTTTAAATGACAGTTCAATTTACAGAATTAGTTTACAATGAGAGAAAAAAAACTCTGCAGAACTAAACTATATTACAAAATTTAATGATGATATTTCAGTTGAAAATATAGAAAATAAATAATAATAAGCCATTTTAATTGTATTCGTTTGGCACCTAATAATAAATACAATTTATTTTTCCACTCATATTAATATTTAAATAATTTATCTTAAATCAAAATTCTGAACATTTTCTAAATTTTCATTGCATAACAGTTTTCCCTTAATATATATCCCAAGCAAAGTAATTTAAGTAATAAAGAGACACATTTCTGAAATCAGAAGACAGGAAATTGCTTCATTCAGTCATCCTTTAACAGTAAAAGCTTAACTAACCCGCATACTCGAAATTCCCGAATATTCCGGATAGTAACTGGAAAAAGAGGAGTGGGAGAGATTGTAGCTGTTCTTTAGATTTAAATTTAAGCTAAATAAATTATTTTGACATTTCGATATGTGCATCATATAAAAACCAACGGAACTGAGAAATATTCTGCTTAGAAAGCACAGTAAAACTCTTTTAAGGTGTGCATAAACAAATCTTAGACTGAACATCAAAATTAATTATCTTCGCAAAATGCAAAATATTGCCAATATGTTATTGCGATAGTGCAATACGTTATTGCGCAATACGTGCGGCGTAATTCTTCCATATGGGATATTACGCAATCGGAATTAACACCTGCCGGTATTCGGAGAAAAAAGAACTAAATAAAGGAAAAGAAAGAGACTTACTAATCTGGGGTGTTTCTGATTCTAATTTTCAACAGACTGTATTAAATTTCCGGAATAGAATCAATCTTCGCTTGGGTAAGGTAGACCGCAAAAACTTTTAGTCCTATTCAATCCAGATTTGATTTTGGACAGTGACCAAAAAAAGTCCGCTGCTTCAATATTAGAGATTTTGCGGAGAAACTCCCAACCTCCGTACTGTATAATGTATTGGCAAACAAAGAAAATGAAATTATTTTGACTATTCGATTACTTTCCTTTATTTTAAGCCATTCCGAATATTTATTCCTTAGAAAGCTAATCTGTGTAAAAACACACCCATTTTTGGAAGTTTATACTTCAGCAGTTACTGCAACTATACTATTATAAATATTCATACATATGCTCATAATATAAGCATAACGATCATAATAAACACGAATATGAATGACCACGCGGAATGAGAATGCAAATTATTAAAATCTTGATAGAAATTCAAACGTGTGTAGTATTTGGGTGGGAGGAAAAGAATACCGAATGTACCGGAATTTTCTACGTTTTCGCAATTCTTTGGCCAATAGAACGACGTGCACCTGTCTGTACTCTCGCGCGCACCATAGGTTACGTTTATGCATAGGAAGGGGGAGAAAGCAATTTTCGGGAGTATGATTCACCATCTGACGTTGCATATAAGAAAGAAAAGTTGTTTATTTAGTTTCGGCTTTGGTACCGGGAAAAAATACGCTTTCATTAAAAACAAAGGATTAAAAAAAAAAGCACTAAAAACAAAAAAATAGGGGCTTTAAAAAAAAAAGTAAGCACCTATAAGGGCCTTTATATTTTATTTTCAAATATAAGGACTCATAAGCACTTGTAAGGACAGCTACGAACCCTGTTTATTCAGCTCACTATTAAATAAAATTTTTCTATTTCCAGTGTATTTCTTAGATATACACAAATAACCCAAATGAATTTTTTAACATTTATTTCTAAATTAAAACCTTATTCAATAAGGAATTTATTTAAAATATAAGTGTAGTTTCTGAAGACGGTGAATGACTACTCAAAGAAGTATTAAACTGTGATTTAAAATGCCTATATATGAAAGTGCAGAACACTGCACTTTTTACTACAGCTGATGAACAAGAAAAAGG